ATTCACATAAATATTATTTACAATCAATTTTACTCTGTGACAAAAAAAAATATCAGGAGTAAAGTATGAAATAACAAGATTCAACGGTAATGACGGTTTCTCCATATGACAAAGAAGGATGAAGGATCTGCTCATCCAACAAGGGTTAGACATTGCACTAGGTGCAAATGAGGCAAAGCCGGAAACCATGAAAGACGAGGAATGGGCAAACATGGATAAGAAGGCGGCTAGTGCAATCAGACTGCACTTGTCCGATAAAGTACTCAATAATGTCGGGGATGAAAATAGTGCACGTGGTATTTGGAAAAGACTAGAAAGTCTGTACATGTCCAAATCCTTAACAAACAAGTTGTTTTTGAGAAAGCAACTATATGCCATCCATATGAGTGAAGGTACAAATTTCTTGTCCCATTTAAATATGTTCAATGGATTAATCACGCAGGCAAACCTTGGAGAAACAATCACTGAAGTAGATAAGGTTATCATGCTTCTAAACTCGTTGCCATATTCCTATGATAATTTGGCAACAATCATCCTACATGGTAGAGATACCATCGATTTAAAAGAGGTCACATCAGCCATCCTACTCAATGATAAGATGAGGAAGAAGCCCGAAAATCAGGGGCATGCTCTTATCATGGAAAACAGAGGAAGAAGTTTTTATAGAGTATCCAGTAGCCGTAATAAATCCAAAGCTCGTGGAAAGTCCAGGAGCCGGTCAAAGGGTAGAAATTGCTACAGTTGCGGTCAACCCGGTCACTTCAAAAGAGATTGCCCAAAGAAAGGTCGAGGCGAGAGCAATGGCCAGACGAATGATGACAACACAACCGCTGCAGTGCACAGCGATAATTCAGTGGTTCTCTTTGTTCACGAGGAGTAGGAATGCATGCACTTAGCAAGCCAAGAGTCAGAATGGATGGTTGATATAGCAACATCCTACCATGCCACACCGGTAAGAGAATTCTTCTGTAGGTACAAAGCAAGAGACTTTGGAATGGTCAAAATGGGAAATACCAGTCATTCAAAGATTGTGGGGATTGGCGACATTTGTATCAAGACAAATGTCGGATGCACATTAGTTTTAAAAGATGTGTGACACGTACCAGATATGCGAATGAATTTGATTTTAGGGATCGCTCTAGATCGAGACGGGTACGAGAATCACTTCGCCAATAGAAAGTGGAGACTCACCAAGGGATCATTAGTGATTGCTAAAGGAGTTGCTCCCTACACATTGTACAAGACAACCGTTGAGATATGTGAAGATGGATTACATGCGGCTGTAGATGATATGCCTGCGGATTTATGGCACCCGAGATTGGGCTATATGAGTGAGAAGGGACTGCAAATCCTATCCAAAAAGTCACTCATCTTATTTGCAAAAGGTACAATTGTGAATTCTTGTGATTATTGTTTATTTGGAAAACAACACAGGGTATCGTTTCAAGAAACTCATGGAAGAAAATCAAATATACTTGATTTAGTATATTTTAATGTTTGTGGTCCAATGGATGTAGAATCAATGGGAGATAATATATATTTTCTCACATTTATTGATGATGCTTCACGAAAATTGTGGGTTTATTTCTTGAAAACCAAAGACCGGGTATTTCAAGTATTTCAGAAATTCCATGTTCTGGTGGAAAGGGAGAGGTCAAAAATTAAAGCGTCTCAGGACAGACAATGGAGGAGAGTATATTTTAAAGGAGTTTGAAGACTATTGCTCAAGCCATGGAATCAGACATGAGAGGACAGTTCCTAGAACCCCACAACACAATGGTGTAGCTGAAAGGATGAATCGCACCATTGTCGAAAAAGTGAGAAGTATGCTCAAAATGGAAAAACTACCTAAGTCATTTTGGGGTGAAACATCTCGCACAACCTGTTACTTGATTAACAAAAGTCCATCAGTTCCATTGGAGTTTGACATTCCAGAGAAAGTCTGGACCAACAAAGAGGTCCTACTCCCATCTGAAAGTGTTTGGATGTAAAGCTTTTGCACATGTGCCGAAGGAGCAGAGAACGAAGTTGGATGACAAAGGTATTCCGTGCATCTTCATCGGTTACAGAGATGAAGAGTTCGGCTACAGATTGTGGGACCCATAAAGGAAAAAGATCATCAGAAGCAGAGATGTGATCTTCAGAGAAGATGTGGTCGGGATTGATAGTGATCAATCAACAAAGACCAAAAATGATAATGGTACAATTACTAACTTTGTTACTACTCCTACTGTACATGTACGTAATCCTACCACAGGTGAAGAATGGCACACGGAAGGTGTAGATGAAGAGGTTGCTGAGCAGGGGGAGTACCCTAGTCCACAAGAGGAAGAAGGAGAGCAACAAAAACAACAAGAAGGAAAACAACCATTGAGAAGATCTGAAAGAGAGAAGGTAGAGTCCACAAGGTATCCTTCTTCGGAGTATATCCTCGTCACTGATGAGGGGAGCAGTGGCAAAGCCAGAAAATTCAACAAGGGTGTTCAAACATTTGCTAGTGGGCTATGTAAGGGTGTTCAAAGTCTATTTTTAATCAATAACAAGTAATATTTTACCTTATACAGAGTATAATTTTCCGGCCCTTGGAAGAACGTAGCTTCGCCCCTGAGGGGGAGCCAAAGAATTTCAATGAGGTGTTATCTCATCCGGAACAAATCCAGTGGATGAAAGCCATGTAAGAAGAGATGAATTCTTTATAGAAGAATGATACGTACGAACTGGTTGAACTTTCAAAAGGCAAAAGATCGCTCAAGTGCAAGTGGGTCTAAAAGCTCAAGAAAGATGGAAATGGCAAGCTGGTCAGACACAAAGCTCGATTGGTGATAAAAGGTTTCGAACAGAAGAAAGGTATTGATTTTGATGAAATTTTCTCACATGTTGTCAAAATGACTTCTATTCGAACAATCTTGAGCTAGGCAGCTAGCCTAGATCTTGAAGTGGAGCACTTGGACGTGAAAACTGCGTTTCTGCATGGAGATTTGGAAGAGGAGATCTATATGGAGCAACCATAAGGTGTTGAAGTAAAGGCGAAGAAACACATGGTGTGCAAGTTGAAAAAGAGTCTCTATGGGCTGAAACAAGCACCTAGGCAATGGTACAAGAAGTTTGACTCATTCATGAGAAGTCAAACGTACACAAAGACTTTTTCAGATCCATGTGTATACTATAAGAAATTCTCTAACAATAATTTTATCATCTTGTTGTTATATGTGGATGACATGTTGATTGTAGGACAAGACAAGAAGTTGATTGCCAAGTTGAAGGAAGATTTGTCCAAGTCATTTGACATGAAAGACTTGGGTCCAGCACGACAAATTCTAGGAATGGAGATTGTCCGAGATAGGACAAATAGTAAGTTGTTGTTGTCACAACATAAATATATTGAACGTATACTTAAACGCTTCAACATGATGAGTGCTAAACCCGTTAGCACGCCTCTTGCTGGTCATATGAAGTTGAGCAAGACAATTTGTCCTACAACAAAGGAAGATAAAGAAAGTATGGCTAAAGTTCCATATTCATCTGCCGTGGGGAGCCTAATGTATGCAATGGTATGTACCAAACCTGATATTGCTCATACTGTCGGTATTGTTAGCAGGTTTCTTGATAATCCCGGAAAAGAACATTGGGAAGTTGTGAAGTGGATACTTAGGTATCTAAAAGGAACCTCATATGAATGCTTGTGTTTTGGGAGATCAGATCCAGTCTTGAAGGGCTACACAGATGCTGATATGGCAGGTGATCTTGATAATCGTAAATCTACTACAGGATACATGTTCACTTTTTCAGGGAGAGCTATATCATGGCAGTCGAAGTTGCATAAGTGTGTTGCACTCTCTACAACTGAAGCAGAGTATATTGCCGCTACCGAAGCTGGAAAGGAGATGGTTTGGCTGAAACGGTTCCTTTGAGAGCTTGGATTACATCAAAAGGAGTATGTCGTCTATTGTGACAGTCAAACTGCAATAGACCTGAGAAAAAACATCATGTATCATGCAAGGACGAAGTATATCGACGTGAGATATCACTGGATTCGAGAAAGGATAGAGGATGGATCTATGCAGGTCAAGAAGATCCATACAAGTGAGAATCCTTCGAATATGCCGACCAAGCTGGTACCAAGAGACAAGTTCGAGTTATGCAAAGAACTTGTCGGCATGCACTCAAACTAGAAACTCAGGTGTTACCTCTTTCAGGTGCATGGACTGGAGGGGGAGATTTATTGGATCCATCCCATGGCCCATGTGAAAGAAGATGAAGCTTCTTTTTTGGTTTTGTCAAGCCAACCAATTTAGAAGTTCAATTTGGGCAATTAGCTTTTGAAGTGAATATTGATGTCATTGCATACATCAATATGGGCATTCTTCAACTATAAATAGGTGCCTCTATCTTCATTTGTAAACACACCAAAACAAAGAGAAAGAGAGTGATTTACAGAGTAAGAAGCAAAATACTTTGAGAGGAAAAATATAGAGAGTTTGAGCGGTATTGTAGTGAGGTGGAAAAATCAAAAGAGGGTTATTTCTTTTGAGTGTTTAGTGGCCTTGGAGTATTTTACCCGGTACCACAAAGAGTGAAATCAGCTCTTCCTCTCGGGGCGTGGTTTTTCCCTTCTTCATAAGGGTTTTCCACGTAAAAATCTCGGAGTCCTTGTTTCTCTTATTATTACCATTGATTACAGTATTTTAATAATCCGCATTTATTATAGTCGTATACCGTGAATATTATTTCTGTGGGGGTTAATTTTCCCAACAGAAACAACCCAAATAATCCTATCGATCCTATACTAGAAACTTGTGAGTGGGGCATGGTTGGGAAATTGGCAAATTCATCTACACTCAAACTTTGAGCTCACATATCAGGTGAATAGAATTCACAATTGTAGAGAAACTTGCTGAAAGATATAACCTTTATAGATATCAAGGGAGTACCTCACCTTCTTTTTCTTTAAAGAGAAAAAAGAAGGAAAATTTTATGAGAAAATTGAACTCGTGAAGGATGTAAATTAGATTTGATTTAACTTAATTGTATGGGAAACTAAGATTTCTCTAACTATACCCCTGAGAATGTTCAAAGACAACATACTGTTCAATGAGGTCACGAAACAAGATCGTTATTCAGGTGATAGGATCAAAGTACAATACCTTTACATTCATATGACCGGTATATGACTGAAGAGGAGAATCAAGAACACGAGACGTGCACGATGACAGATCCCAGAGCTTTATCGTATTATCCGTAGATGCAGACACAAGAGTTGTTGAATCTATGAACTTGACATAGCTCACTGTCTTGTTGTGCCCAACTAATGTGCATAGCGGCAATTTTGAGTTTCGTAGATCATAGTAATATATCTTATGATCTGCTGAACCAAAAGCAAGGGCCCGACCAGAATCAACAGGGAACTGAACACAGCAGACGTTGGCTTTTGTTTTTATGGTTCCAACACTTACTCCCTGCAGCAAACCAGGTAAGAAAAACCAACTTATTACACATCCACATTCTATCTATACAACAATAATAATTAGATGACTGTAGTACATTTAGTTTTAAAGCTGACATCCACCAAGTGCAAAAGTAGAATTGCCTGATTGATATTCCAAAGCTTAACAGAACCATCATCGCTCCCGCTCGCCAACATGGTTGGATCTGCTACGGAAAAGTCAACAGACCAGACGCGTTTCAAATGCTCTCTCATCTCCATGAAAAGCTGACTTCTCGTGACATCCCATACCTGTATCATATTTACAACTTTATTTTGATTCTGTTAAATATAACAATATATGATGATCATGAATTTGACTTACCTGCACCACACCTTCAAAGTTACTTGAGGCGAGCTGGCTCTTGATATAGCCATTCCAACATATACTGCTTAACTTTGATCTATTAGCCATTTCAACGACTGGATAGTGTATATCACGATCCGCATTTAGAATTGAGTTATATTCAAAAACTTTGATCTTCTTATTTACGCCGGCAGTTGCAAAAAATTCACCATCACGATCAAAACCGAGAGAACATACAAGATTGGATGAGTTTAGAAGATCCCCTTGCCTTAAATCTGCCTTCACTTCTAACTTGCTAAAAGAAAAATACTTGCACAGACCCTCTAAGTACGAATTGATAAATCCAATCTCTCCATCCTCCTTGCACCCTCTTTTTGATGACAAATTACTCAGAGAACTCCTTTCAGTAGCTGTACCGGAACTTCTACATTCCGTACTTGTTTGACAACGTCTACTCGTAGGTTTGTCCATTGTTTTAACAATCCTGCGTCTTGTCATGAAATAAGCTGTCTCCAATTTTCTGAAGTTCTTCATCAACCGGGAACTTTTTGCTAAAATGCTGCCTTTATATTCAATTTGCCTTTCGGGTTTCTGGCTTTCATCTTGATGACCATCGGATTCCTCTCCTGTGCCAAGCCTAAATCTCTTTCTAGATCCAGAGCTCCCGGAATCATCATCTTCAGTAATATCTGTCCTCCGCGAATTTAAGCGCTTAGCTCGTTCTAAGCTTGAGCCTCCTTTTATCTTAAGGGTTGTCTGCATCTTAGACGCCTCTTCTATATCAGACGATACAAAAGAAACAATTTCTTGCAAATTTTCCACAGCTTCCTGCTTTCGCTGTTGGATTAGCAAAAGGAACTCCAGCAATATTTCCTGCTCATCTATTTTTTCTCTAAGCTCTATTGCTGCTTCACGTTCTTCTAAGTCATGTCTTGGAGTTCTAAGGAATTCACTTTCTAGCAACTCGCTGTCATCAATTGAAAAGAACAAATGAGGAGAGACTGGGAAAGAATCAAGGATACTGGTGTAAAAACAGTACGGATTAAGATGATCAATTGCATAATATCCATTTTAATGAAAATTCGCTGAAAGAAGCAGAGATAGTAGAAAATTCAAGAGAGTGATGAGACGTCCGAAATGCATTTCATCATTAGAAAGGGACTCACAATATTCAGATAGTACTCATTAGTAGATACCTCTTTTGTGTCATTATTATCTATTTTATTTTACTATCAACAAGTCTTTAGAATTCTTTTCCCTTACCCTTCTTTCTACTTTGGATGAAACAACGCACATCCTTAACAATAATCAATAAGGTTCAAGATAGACATTGAACCGGAAATCAGCAATGATTTTGCATATTATCACTGAGACAAGGCCTTAAGAAGAGATTGCAAGATGCAGAATCAAGCTGTCCACAATATATAATTATGCGTGAAATCTAGTGCTGTCATATCTTCAACTATAGGCACCCTCGGTAGGTGTAATTAGTTTACTTTCTCACAATGTATATGATCTTACTCCCAAGACGTAAAGCCATTGCATCAACCAATTTTCTTAATGAAAAAAAAAGGGAGGGTACTGCTGTTGCAAGACATGTAATAGTTTTTCTAGTTTGATAGCAAAAAGACTAGAAACAAGGTTCTCAAGGATGATGTTATAAATCAGAAGTAAATATTAGAAGACTACAAGCTGATTAGGTTGCACAACAAATCGAGAATGGAATGCGTTAAGGGAAACTTTCCGAGGCAAGAAGAATAAACCAAGTGGGCGTGATAAAAGAATGCTCACCCCATTTTTGGCCGACTACTTGGTTCCGGGTGTAATAACCATAAGCAAAATGAAGCTTCTTTAGGCCATTTCAACAACAATTGTGGGGGTAGGACACGATGTCTTAAACATGACATAGTTGCAATTTTCTCATCTGATGAGTTGAAGGTACAAAATAGCTGCTCACAAATTATAAGCATCAATAAGATAAAAACATCATCATAGAGGACACTAAAATTTAACTAAACACACAAATTTTGCTAAAAGCTACTAAGTACTAACCTCAAAGAGAAGGACTCCGAGTCGATAAATGTCCGAAGCACAAGTGCTTGGAGCTTCATCAACCTCTTCTGGACTATTATACCAATTAGTTTCCAAGTGCAATATCTGTTTCATAGGAAAAGTATGCTTCTTTTCTTCAATTTGTCTGTTCTTATTAGCTTCCAAAGTCTGCACCATATGACCTGAACTTGACTGCAAACAACTGCTATCAGATACTATGCCAGATTCAATAGGCAAAGGAGAAGATGAACTATTTAGCCCATCTTCACACGAATCGGACCCCGAATCAGAGCAGGATGCAGATTCAATAAAAGCAACACGGTTGAAAGAAGACATGACAAAACATGATGGTCTTACATTATGAACAACTATCCCCTGAGTATGTGCCAAGTTTACAATCTCTACAATTTGAGTAAATATGTGCAAACATTCAAGAGCATCAACATTTCTCTCTGGATTGTCCAACCAATGTCTCAAACTAACATCTTTACTACTAGTACTACTACCTATTGTTCTCCTGCCTTGTTGATCTTTAAGACAATTCACATCAGAAAATCCAGAATCATAACAAAATCTTGAATTCCTATCCACAATACCTGAAGAATTCAAACCCCTTGAATTTTCAGACCTCTCCCTACCAGACTGAGATGAGCCCTCCATTTTTTATCCACGTATAATTGCATGTAGCACAAAAATCAAGAAACTGTGAAATTCTCAAGACTCCTTTTACTTCCGACCTGGGGCAGAAAATCTACTAAATATGTACAAATATTAAATTTCAAATCGAGCTCATAAACTCCTGTATGATTCCAACATAGCCATGTTGAATCAAGAACTCATTTTTACAACACAAATAGTTCAAATCATCAACCCCACAAAATTCTGTGATATCAGTTATCTTTCCTTAAACAAGCACAAAACCTACCTATTTTTTTAACAAAGAAACATTAGATATCTGAGCAAAGACTAAACAGCACCGCCAAAAATAATATCAGCAGAAAGAAGCTTAGTTTGTACTACTACTATATCAGCTAAAAGCAAACAAAAAAACAAGAACCACACAGCAGATACTGTAGTTTCAGAAAATACAAACATTTTGATTTATTTTATTGTAAAGAAGTACTGTGTATCTTATAATTCATCGAATCCGTTTGACTGAGCACAAAATTTGTAGGAAAAAAAAAAATTAAAATTTGTGATCTTAAATAATTTAAAAAGACCCTCAAAGTATTTGTATGGTTATAAAAATTTATAAAATTATAAGTTTAAATAAAAATTATTTTTAAATTTAAAAAAAAAATATTTTTTTTAAAACGAAGTAAATAGTAAATAGTTTCACGTAAACCTAAACCGAGCCAGTACTACAGCCTCACAAAATTAGGTGAAAATCTTTTCCTTTTCTGACAGGATGTATGAAAAGAAAACAAGTCTTTCCATATATGGAAAAAGGATAAAAAAATATAAAAAGAAAAAGGGGTTTATTTTATTAGAAGAAAAAAAAAAAACAGTGCTACTGTACTGGACATTAATTTAGTGATGTCAATTGATTTTTATATTACTCAAAGGGGTCCACTCATTATCTACAATCCACTGATTTTAGCTTTAATTACATCTCATATACGTGGCACATTCATATCCTCAAAGCTCTCTTTCAGTTAGCAGTGAGGCCAAATAGTAATGCAGCTCACCTCCCTGTGGACCAAATTTCAAAAACAAAAAGAAGTGTTTCCCGTACAAATTTATATAGTGTTTGACTGAGCACCACATTTAAAAACAAATTAAATTTGTAATTTAAAATAAGTTACATTAATAAAATCAAATATACAGACAATTCATTGAACTGGGTTTTATTTTTTATTTTGTCACTTTATCTCAATCTTGTTTCATTTTGGTCCTTCAACTTTATTTTTTATGTTTCATTTTAACACAAAAAATTTTATCCGACGTAAAAATGCAGCGCATATACATACTTATTTGACCAAATACATAGACAACCCATTAAACTTCTCCATTTTTTATTTTGGTACTATATCTCAACCTTATTCCATTTTGATCCTCCAACTCTATTTCTTATGTTTCATTTTAACGCAAAAACTTTTATCCGACGTAAAAATGCAACGCGTATACATACTTGCTTCTAATGTGTAACAACCATCCAATTAGATTTGGACACTTGTTTTTTTTATCATTGTCATCTAGGTTTAATCATCCACCACCACCACCACCACCCCCAAATATTTTTTTACTTTTTTTTTTAATTTCAAATTTTTGTTTTTTTCGTTTTTCTGCACCCCCTTCCCCGGGGAAAATATATATATTTTTTATATATTTTTAGTTTTAGTTTTTTCATCTTTCGATTTACAGGTTCGAAATTTTAAAAGTTTCAAAATTATGAGTTTGGAGCTTTATGTGTTTGAAAGTTTACGGGTTCGAAAGTTCGCGGTTTCGAAACTTTAGCGGTTCGAAAGTTTATGAAATTTATGGGTATTTCAGGATATGCATGCACACACGTTTCATAAAATATAAAATTTATTTTAAAATATTTTATTTTTAAAAAAAAAATTACGAAACCGACCAACTTTGGTTATTTTTTGGCGCAAAAATGCAGAAAATTCTTTTAGTGTCCCGCAAAATTTATTTTTTAAGAAATCGACTGAAATCGGTCAGTTTTCATATAAACAGTAAATGGGGAAGAAAATAATAGGGGAAGAAAGTTGGGGGATTAAAAATGAGGCCAACAATTATTTTATTACTGTAGGAAAAGAAATTTTGCCATAAACAATCTGCCTCACACTCCTACCATGTGACTAGTCAGCTTTCATGTTAAAATAAAACATAACAAATAGAGTTGGAGGGCCAAAATAGAACAAGGTTGAGATAGAGTGCCAAATTAAAAAATGGAGCCAAGTTCAATGGATTGTATATGTATTTGGCCTTTATGTTATTACCGTTGGAGAATGAAATTTGCCCAAAAAAATCTCCCTCACGCGCCTACAGGGTGAGAGGTAACTCACACTCTGAATCTAGTCAACTTTTGTGTTAAAGTGAAACATAAGAAATGGGGTTGGAGGGCCAAAATGGAACAAGATTGAGTTAGAGTGACAAAATAAAAAATTGGGCCAAGTTTAATGGGTTTTCTATGTATTTGGCCTAGTAATAATTTATATAGCGTTGCTATTGAAAAGTCATCTTCCTATGGACCAAATTCCATAAAAAGTGTTGCCATTATAATTTATATGGTGATATTGATTGGGCACATAATCTTTTAAAAATAAAAAATATGTAGTATAAAATAAATTATAAATATTTCTATGGCTTTAAGTCTCTCAACTAAATTAAAATAAAAATATAAAAAAAAAATTAAATGAATAATATTTACATATAGTTTTTTTAAACTGATTAAAAGTAATAAATTGAGACATAAGGAACAATTTTTTTTTAATAACATCAACAGGTTGAGTACTGTGAGCATTGAACAAGGACCATTGATTTTCAAGATGACGAAGTATTCATTTATACTACCTTGAGTTTCTGGATTTTTATTATTAAATTCTTGTGGTCATAGTGTTGAACAAGAGTGGGCTGCTCTCAGAGGCGGATCCAGGATTTAAAGTTTATGGGTTCCTATAACGACCTTAAATAAATATAAAATAAGTAAATGAGTTCACAATTAAATATTTATGGATATTTAGTGAATTTTGTAATATATATATAGGGTATATACAAAAGCTACTGGGTTCCCGGGAACCCACATGTAATAGGCTGGATCCGCTCCTGGTTGCTCCGGTGGTGAGCACCCTCCACTTTCAACCGAGAGGTTGTGAGCTCGAGTCACCCCAAAAACAAAGTGGGAAATTCTTGAAGGGAGGGAACCGATTTTCTATTGAAAATAACTTCTCTATCCCAGGATAGGGGTAAGATCGAACACACCATCTTCCGCGGAATAAAACGTGCAGGTGTAAACTAGTAGTAATATTTTATGAGGCAAAGTGATATTGAATAAAAAATTGGGTACCGATTCTACGTCATCGCTTAGATAGAACTGTTGAGCCACTTGGAAAAAAAAACTAAAGATAAAGCAATTGAGAGGTTAATTTCAGATTTGATTCATTTCATTACTTTAAACTAAAAATGGCACTTTTTTTTTTCTTGAATCCTTTTAAACCCTTGTCAGCATATTGGTTCAATAGAATATATAGCATTTCATGCAGTCGAATTCGAATCAGTCTCGTTACGGTTTGATGTTGGGTTTACAAAATATTCAGCCTTAGATTTGTTCCAACTCTATGAAAATAGCAGCTATGCCCAAATTGTACTTCTTTATTAAACGGATATGCACAATATTATAATATGAAATACTTATAATTGATCACGGAATGTGTGTGACTATATTGTACGTCAACAACAATAAACTCAGTGTAATCTCACAAGTGGATTTTGAGGAAGGTAGTGTGTACGCAGCCTTACTCTTACCTTGCAAAAATAGAGAGCTTATTTCCGATAAATCATCAGGATTATATTGTAAGTAAGAGAGAATAAGGGCTAGTCTCTGTTAGGATGACTGAATAGTCAAAGTATAGAGTAATATTCTGGAGATCTTGGCTTTAATTCCAATTATTACACCGTTATTTGCTTATCAGTGCTTATGTATATAGCGGATTGCTTATGGAATTCTACTATCGCCACTCGATTCCACGTTTAAATTTGAAGCTGAAATTTTGGGGAGGAATTTAGAAAGCTTATGTTGAGATGGAGAAGGAGTTAGATCCTTTGTTGTCGGACAAAGTATATTTCGAGAATTACAATGAAACATTGAAGGATATACTATAATAAAAAAATTATGTCAAATTAAAAGTGCTTATAACTGAAAATTTAGGAGTTTGGTGGTGATTATTTACCAACTTTGGTGACCAAACTATAAATATTATTAGAGCAAGTTTTAATTTATGTCCCATTTTAACTTATATAAGCACTTTTTATATTTATCAAATTTAAACACCCTGGTAATATGTTGAAGATGGTGTCGATTTTAAACTAATATGTCATAAATACCCACTTCAGTTATGTTTTTCTGTCTTCGAGAAAATAGTTTAAGTGAAAAGAGGTCATTTTTATGAGCTGAAATTCTAATAGTTATATAATGATTGGGATGATTTGAGTTTACTAAGTCATACCATGAAAGTTTGGGAGAGGGGTGAAAATGAGGGTGAGGAGGACGGTGTCTATATCCGACAACCAGTTCGGGTTCATGACGGGTCGTTCAACCACGGAAGCTATCCACCTTATTAAGAGGTTGGTAGATCAATACAGAAATAACAAGAAGGATCTGTACATGGAGTTTATTGACCCAGAGAAAGTATATGACAAGGTCTCTAGGGAGGTTCTCTCAAGATGCCTCGAGTCAAAAGGTGTGACAGTAGCTTACATTAGAGCGATCAAGGATATGTATGACGGAGCTAAGACTCGGGTTAGAATAGTGGGAGGCGACTCGGAGCGTTTCTTGGTTGTTATGGGGTTACATCAAGGATCTGCACTCAGCCGGTTCTTATTTGTCCTGGTGATGAACGCACTGACACAACATATTCAAGGGGAGGTGCCATGGTGTATGTTATTTGCTGATGATATAATTCCGATTGATGAGACGTGAGACGCTGTTAACAAGAGGCTGGAGGTTTGGAAACAAGCCCTTGAGTCTAAGGGTTTCAAGTTGAACAGGACTAAGACAGAATACCTGGAGTGCAAGTTCAACGCCGAGTCGAGGGAAGTGGACATGGACGTGAGGCTTGGGTCATAGGTCATCCCCAAGAGAGGCAGTTTCAAGTACCTTGGGTCGGTTATCCAGGAGGACGGAGAGATCGACGAGGACGTCACTCACCGTATAAAGGTGGGTTGGATGAAATGGAGGTTAGCATCTGGAGTCCTATGTGACAAGATGACATTGATACTCAAAGGTAAGTTTTATAGACCGGTGGTTAGACCGGCCATGTTGTATGGGGTAGAGTGTTGGCCGGTTAAGAACTCACATATACAAAAGATGAAAGTAGCAGAAAAGAGGATGTTGAGTTGGATGTGCGGGTACACTAGGATGGATAAGATTAGGAATGAAGATATTCGGGAGAAGGTGGATGTGGCTCCTATAGATGACAAGATGCGAGAAGCGAGGCTCAAATGGTTCAGACATGT